CCTCCCATGAAAGCACTTGGTTTTATCCGGCGCCAATCACTATACTCGCCTATTACACGGCAATAAAAGATCTAAAACGTTATTTGGAAGAAGATAGTAATTGGATGAGGTGAACGCTTCCAACAGCTCCGGATTGGTAGCTTTCGACCACAATATTATCGCTTAAAAGGTGATAATGATTTATATAATTACATTATTCATCTTTATTACAAGGAGTTCCTTTAATTAGGCCAAACGAATAGTTAATAGCGTCATTCCTACGTAACGCTTAATGGGAGCACGGCGATATTCTATCGAAAAGTCAGTCACGTAGGTCAGCAAAATGAGCCAAAAACAAAAAACCGATGGCACGAGGCGGGTTGGGTTAATGAAATTATTGTCATGAACCAACATAAACGGTGATCTTTATGACATTCTTTCGTGGATGACGTGATTGTTACGTCATCCACAAGGCTCCTGTAGATGATGAATGAATAAAATCAGCCTTCCAACCCTTTTTCCTTTCCCCCCCACCCTCCCCTCTCATCTCTACACATGCACGTTACACTAATGTAACGATTTTGAAACAGCATAGCTGTTCAGTATAGCTCTTCTGGCCGCTTCTACGAAAGGGTTCTTCACTTGAAGAAGGGTCACGAAGAGCAATTTACATCTTGGGATCAGCACCCTTCGGTCAGAAATAGAAATGTTCTTTGTTCATGATCGCTGTGTTTTTCAGCATGTGACTTCCAAACCTTTCTTTTCGCCCCACTAGAATTTACATGTGAAAAACTGCTGATCCCAAAATGTAAGTTATTACAAAAACTTCAATACCGTAATGTGATTAAACCAAACACTTCTCAATACGTTATAGCCACTCTACTAAGTTAAAAAATCACTGGCTATGTTCTTTGAACTTCAAAAAAAAAAAAAAGGAAAAACACCAACTCAAACACACAAAAAAACGAATAAACGAACAAACCAAAGATAACAGGTAATGTGAGGTGACGTTTCTTGACTCAACTTCACAGGCAAATCAGTCTCTCAAAAAGCATCTTTCTTGCTGCCGGACAAAGGCGGAGGACGGAGTACCTTCGAAGTCAAACTGAACGCTAACGTGTAGGCTGCGTGACAAACAAGAAACACGTGATTGATACATGGCAATCTGATTCCGAGAATTCACCTACCTTGCGGTCATTTAGGTAACCTTTCGGAGTGTTCTCAGCTTGATAATGCATTTGCCGATAGGGGTTATCTTGGCCGATTTCAACACCAAAAGTAATACAGCCATGCTTTTATTTCGCTCTGGAATACCACAATTATCTCCTTTAACGAACGCAAATTTTCGTTCTTAAACCCGAAGGAGTCTTCCGGGAAAGAGAGTGGTAAGATTGATGATTACTTAAAGAGGACGAGTGGAGCTGGGGAGAGACGCTGACTGTCATTAGGTTTTTGGGTAAACGGATTTGGCCCCTTACGGATTGCGAATTTTTGCAAACATTCTTGGCGGATTCTAGACTTGAACATTGTAGCTGGAACATTCTGTCTGGTTAGGAGTTCGGGTGGTTAAACTCCTTCATCAGTCTTCGTTCGGCTTTGTTTAGCATGTGCGTGTCATTAAGAAAAAAGTTTGAAATTCGTTCCGGATGTGTAGACCCATACGGCTTAGCAGTTCAGTTTATAATGGGCTGTAACGCCAGCAAAGACTGAAAAATGATGGTCAAATATGAACACAGGAGAAGTAAAGTCGAAAACATTTTCACCATTATACACCAGTAAGTTCGAGGAGGACGCAGGTTTAGAGTGACGTGGATCCATCTTCAAAGGAATGACAAGGTCATATTGACAGATAAGTCAAGAAAAGATAAGAAGAGAGAAGCGTAAGTCAGTGGATTTCCGTACTCGTCGTCACACCCTTCCTTCCCGCCTTACCGTTTACTGGTTTGCGTTTCCCTTCCTTTAAGCAAATTGTTTCTTGCTTCCCCACTCCAAGAGTTCGAGCAAACCGGAAAATCGACTGCTATTGTGGATCTGAAAAGAAGAGAAAGCGATAGAGGAAGGAAGAAAGAAAACCTTTATGGATGACTAGAGAACTCTCGGCCGTTACATAAGAGTGAACGCTTTTGGATTTCGCGCCTCTTGGCGACTCGAACATCGACACGGTTTACGTACCGGCATTTGGAGAGGCGTTCTGTAACGATTTTCAATCATTCTTTCTCAGGTAAGAAAGTGTACCGCCTCACAAACCAAAAACCGAGTTACATGAAATTCATTTCCGTCACTTTCCTTCGCGTCAGAGAAAAGGAAACTTGTAGGCAACCCTTGAACTGACTACCTCGCCGTCAGTACGCAAGGATGCTTTCTGGCGAACATTTGCCATTGCATGCTCAGTACTGTCGGTTATGCAGCTGAAGAAGTGGTCTTTGAGTTACCAACTTCGAGTACTACTTCGCTTTAAAAAAAGAACCAAAAAAAAAAGGCCTTCATAGCAAAACGATAACAATAGGCAGTTTGATATGCTGGTATTGTGGGTTAGAATAGCTGCCTCTGAGGATTGCTAAATTGAGAAGGTCATTACTATCTATGCTCTCATCCCAGATTTTTTAGTATGAAGCCACTTGGAGTTTTCAATTGCTTCTTTCAATTGCATCACCGGTATCCGTTTACTCTCCCAGGTGGAGAAAGAGGTACTGTGAGGGTGAAGTTTCTAACACAACACAATGACAGAATCAGCACTCAGATCTCTCGATCCGGAGTCTTGCGTGCTAACCATTAGTTTACCGAGTTCCCTGCCAAAATAAGGACAGTATTGGTATCTAGACCTCGCCCCTGTCAATTAAGTCTTCAAATTCGGGCGGACAACCCAAGGATCGCCAAGTGAGCTGATATTTATTTTGCACAGCTAACTTCCCGTGGATGTGAAAATCGTTCCAGGGCCTCTGGCATTCCATACCAGCAGCACACTTAAGCATAAATGGCATGGTGTGGTTTGACTTAGACCGTTTTTACAAAAGAAATTTGGTTTGAGTTTTGCATAATGATATTCAACATGCTGAACCCTTTCACGAAATATTTTCTGGCTTCAGATATCAAAGATTTAAATAAGGAAGGTCGGCGAAACGAAACACTTTGTAACGCCGAAATTCTGTTATATTAATAAATTCAGCCTGGAAGGCTGACGCAAAATATCCTCATTTGAAATCTCCGATTTTACGAATAGGTGTCATTAAGCAGGGGTTTCGATAAAAGCCGATGACATGCTGTCTACTGCTTTCTGTTAAGCCTGCGCGCAGGCTCTCGTGTTTGGGTCTCGCCTCACTGCCACTTTTCGGGCAAAGTTATTGAAACCGTTGTTTGATTGATTTTGGTCAATTGTCAAGAGTCGTGCTCTCGTGAATTCTTGAACTAAACGCTGTCAACAGCGTTACGTCCAAAGTTCTTGAACTGGATGGTATCAACAGAGTTAGTAGCCTTACTCTTGGTTCATTAACTCTGGTATCAAAGTGTTACATGAAAAAAAAAAACGCACGTCGGGAAAGGCTGATTATAAAAAGTTTCGATTCTTTATCGCGGGATTATTTAGGATCTAGTTCTAGCAGATAACTGCTGATACAACCACATTTTCCCTTTTCTTCCCTTTTGTTTCGTCTGTGGGGAAAAATGGAAAGGTAGTCGCTTGTAAAGTTATTACTTTTGGTGTAGAAACACAAGAAGCAGTTGCAGGCCAAGTAGAGCGTGCGCAAAGGGTCTGAAATAAACGAAAATTGGCTCTTCGTGTCAGGGGCCAGGAAAAAATTGCCTGCAACAAAGAATTCAGGAAAACATGCACAGATTTCTTAAGTTGATGTTTCTTATTTTCGTTAGATCTAACATTTTGCATAAACATAGAGTCCGAGTAATTTCCCATAAGATCACCATCCATTACTGGTACTCGCTAAAATTAACGTTTTTGTTGATTCCTATTCTGGGAATTGGTCTGCATTTATTTTACAGAAATTTCATAGTTAATTCAGAGCGAGAAAAACTGTCAGTAAGTCAACTTACTCACATACGAGTACGACTATTAGGCTTTCTTCTCTAACTGCCACCAGATGGAGCCTGCCTTGTTAGCCTCGTCACTCGCGATTCTTTCCTGCTGTTTCTTGAGGTGACTGTGCCTCTCCTTCCCTATGGGTCACACCTCGGTGCGTACCTGGTGACTTTTGCTTTTCTAACCGTGTGTTTAATCTGTGCTAAAGTGCGATAGTCTAGTCATTTGTTTATTTTTTTAATAGTAGTATTATCATAATCATGGCTACTATTATTGTCCTGATGATGGTGATGACCATGATGATGATGATTAGCATCATTGCTTTCTTTAGGCAATCGGAGACAAGCACTGGACGAGCGCGAGAGGCGAGACACGGGCGTTGCGAATGGTACGTGAATTTTGATTTTGGCGCTCGTGCTCTCACGTGCGGCTTGTGTTCTGGATACCGATTCCTCCCTGTAGGGCTGTTGACCACAGTTTTGTAATGCCTTCTGTTAATCGAGTTTAACTCCGCCTAGATGTTTCCTAGAGGGAATATCTAGCCGGTCCCAAGCCCGGATAAAGGAGGAGGGTTCTGTGTGGGGTCAACCGCTCCACCTCTTAAAACTCGACTTCACAACACACAAGTCAGAGACGTCTCTCACGCGAAACAAAAACGCGAGTTATTTCGAGTTATGGAGTCTTGGCGTAAATTATTACTTCTAACAGCTGCAGGTACTCACTCGCAGTTTTTCACTGGAGTACCTCTTCCTCAAAATACGTTGCTGTGAAATGGTGGAATTTCCGCAAAGAAGGGAAAAGAAAAATTGCTGTAGGGTATTTTTAATAAACGAGAAACTGGTTTGCCAAGCCCACTTGTTGAATAACTGACCACAAATGAAAAAGAAAAGACCCTGAAATTTAAGAAAGAAGGATAGGACAACAGATGTGAACTTCAAGATTTTCAACCCCGAGAAAATTTGTAAGTAGATACGAGCCACACAAATATGGTTTAATACTTTAATATCCTTTGGGTTGAGAAGCTTCGTTCATTTTGAGATTTGTGGAATAAAATGCAAGTTAACTTGGAATTACAGTAACACTGAATGCACAGTTTATTTCAATCAACTTGTCTCCAGTGATGCCTTCCTCCTCTGCTTGCTTCCCTTTCCTTCCCTGTTATGGCATTTAAAAACGAGAATTGTGACAAAATGCAGAGCGCACGTGGATTTCATCTTACCACGTGACAGATCACTTTCCTTTCACTTTTTTGCAAAGAAAGATATGTCCTACATGACTTCAGTAAGATAAGTTTAGGATAGATATGAGGAGAAACGTTAGGTATAGGAATGATTAAACAGTCAAAAATATTTTCACTTGGCTGCAGCAATTATCCCAGCAACACCTAAAAAAAGGAAATAAAAAAGAAAAAATAATTTAGTTGTTTAAAAGGGATTACCAACCAAAATCAAATGATCAAATGGTCCAAATGACAGGATATGTTGATGACACAGAAAATTAGCACTAATGGGGGACACCGCTGAGGCACTTACAACCAGCAACTGGTTATAATTTAGGTTGCTGAGTCCTTTCCTTTCCTAAGTTCTTAGAAGGACAGCATGTACAATGCTTTTCAAATGAGTGTCGTCATACTAAACCCAAGGGAATCACAAAAGCCAATCAAAACAAAGTTGTTTTTATGAAAGCCCATGGTGCCACCCAAAACTTTTCTAGAGGGGGCCCTAACTTTTTGACCCCAAAGATGACTAGCATCCTGGTTTCCCTGGTGCGCATCCAGACATATCGAAAGAGAAAGGTCTTGTGAGCATACACCCTTGGGACGCACACCATCTTGGGTTGAACACACCCTCAGGACGCAAAAAGATACTGCTGGATTATAGCGGGTGGTTCACGAGAATTGTTTTTCGTGCGCGGCCATAAAATGAGCAAGCTGTGTAATGCCACTGAAGAGTCACACCATGCCAGGCTAAAAATAAAGTGACTGAACGAAGGAGCCTTGTAATCCCTTATTACAGTACCAGTTGTTCATTAGGGTCAATTTTGATGAGCATTTTAAAGAAAAATCAAGTACAAAACATAGCATCTCGATAACAACCTCTTCTGACGATGACAACAAGACGCACTGTTTTTATCGGGAAATATGTATCTGATAAAATCGAAATTTGAAGGTGCCTTATCTACTATGTTGCTGTACTGGTACATCTGTTCAAGAGAATCAATAATTCACCACAACTCACTGTCTAAGTCGATTTTCTCTGCAATGTTTTTGGACTTGATATGCGCCTCTTGGTTGCTAACAAAAACTTTACCATCTTCCTTGATTGTCCAGTTCTGAACTTTTATCCACTCATCTAGCTCTTCTCCTGGAAATCAGAAGAAAATGTACATGAATGTGCTCTCACTTTGACTTTATTTGGGTTTGCTAACCTGTGAAGACTAGCATCTCATGTAAGAAAAGAGGTGATACTCCTATTGCTGTAACTTCTTACAGCTGATTGACTCTGCACCCCCCTGACTCCACTAGCCCGTCTGGCTCTGCTTGGCTGCCTAGCTTCGCTGGTTATTCCAAGCAGGCTGTACTATTTTCAGTTTTATTGTAGGTTAGGCAAGGAAGATTACAACAAAGATTGCTATTCTTACTTCGCTCTACAGAAACCCAGATAAGCTGAGAGAAGAAGTGTGGTGTGTGTAAGCAAAAAGTGATTGGTCAGGAAGTTTTTATTATATTTAGCGAAACAGCTACCAGTAATTCAAGGAGGAGCCAAACACAAACATTATGAAAATGTGATTCATCCTTTACCCTCTCGAGTGATTGGCTTTCTTATTCTCCATACAGAACCACAGTTGAATCAAATATTAACACCATGAGAATAAGAAATATGATCACTCTCTAGAAAAGCCCTTGATTGTTCATCAAATTCTCCTTGTCAGTGCCATAGAAAATGTATAGGGAACAGTATGGAGAATACACATATTGATGTTAAGGTGTTGAGGGTTCACACAGCCTTTTCACGGACTTTCACAGGACTGGATCCTTTATTTTCAGAAAAAAAATAATTAAAGCAAACCAACCTTGAAGACCTCCAAGAAGTTCTGATATGTGGGTTTTATCAATGGTCTGGTATGTTATGCCTATGACGTAACTTGCATCTGTATCAAATTTACATCAAACTTGATGTGAGCCATACATGTAGATCGAATGAAAATTTCCAAACCAAAATAACTAATAATCTTAATTTCATTGTCATCAATAATTTTATTTGATATCTGTCTCAAGAACAATGAGTAACATACAATGGCATTTTTTGCTCAAGTACTGACTTTTTGCCATAACCAGGGTAGAGATTGTCTGTGAACTGTACATAAATGGCAACATTTACAACCATATTTTCAAGTATATTTGAGGACAATTTTCAAACAGTTAACTTAAAGTTAATCTAAAGAATCCCAAATAACATGAATCCCATGATAACACTGTAGGTTATTCTTAACTAAAGACCACATGTACTCTTTAATGAAAGAGATAAAAATTAAATGGTGTCTGGAGCATACTTCTCCTTGATGAAAATTTGTCAGTTGAGGTGTGATAGCATGATATCTTTCATTGGACAGGAATTGTTTCACAGGTGTAAGACTAATGTGTTAAGTGGCAGACCCATAAAATTATGGGATCCTAAGCTTGCCAGCCACCTAAAATTCCTTGCCACCCACCTTAAATTCAGAGCTATTGAAAAACAACTTATCACAGCAGAGTATCATGCTTATAAGATCACACATGACTACATCATGAGACAAACGAAAAAACTTAGCTTTTATTTTTAATTCCTTATCTGTGATAAGAAAATATTATTGTATAACTCACATTTCCTAATGGCATCATGAAAACCAACAATTCCATCCACAAGGGAACTGTCCTCATTTAGATATTTCTGAAAATAAAATTAGTCATATTGCTGGTTGATTCCCAATAACAACTCTTATTGAATCCATTTAGTGATAATGAGGTTTCCCATTAATTGCCATTCACTAGCTATGAAACCTGCAATTTTTGTATCATTGCAAAAATAATGTGTGTAAGTTGAGAAGAAATACACATGTAAGTGTTAAGGAGAAAAGTAGGAAAAAAGCTCTTACAAAAAACTTACACACTTATTCAACGATAAAATTTGCTTTAAACTTTCTCACTATTTAAGCTCTCTTCTGCTCTCAAGCTAGCACTTTTTTCGCCTTGCCAACCAATGCCACACTACTTTGCAAGCAAAAAAATGCATAAAATTGGATTCAAAGCCACTAAATTTCCAAACATTTTCTGAAGGAAAGTGCATCCAGGCCAGCCCTCTCATCAGGGCTTTGCCTTCATTATTCAAAATAAAGTTGTCTCTACTGTATGTGCAATCATTAACTCCCTACATTACTAAGAACCTTGAATAATTCAGCTATTGCTTCCAATTTATAACTGTACATAACATTTTACCAAGTGTCAGAATAATTTTCCACATAACCACACAATAGTAGTATTCACTAACTCTCACCCAAGCCTCCAAAAAGTTACATGTTTCCAGTAATTCTGCAAGTTTAATGACTCTTGCTATAGCTGGATCTTGTTGCTAAAGTTATACAGTTAAGGTGATGTACCCAAATACAACAAAGGCTTGTTGCTAAGCAATTTGACAAATGACAAAGTATAGAGCTGGTGCAGGGTCACAGTTTTGATAGGTGAAAATCGCAGGCTTGAAAAGGAGATTTTAACAGGTTGATAACTACCAGTTGTGGTTATCCTACTTTAAACATCAAACTTTGCAGGAAAGTTGTTGCTTTGTTGACAGAACAAACATAAGCTGGACTTATAAAAAGGTGCACAAAATTGTCCCTAGGAGGGGATGGGTGAGGGACATGCACATAATTGACTTGGGTCTTGAGTCTCAATGTCAAACTCAGAAAACCATGAACACCTAAAATATGTCTGAGACATTTGTTGCTTTTAGGACAATCTCAAGGGAGATTACAAAATGTAAGCAAACAACAAAACACAGTTTGGGGTTCAAAGAAAGGAGTATAGCCTCATTCCCAGGAACGTCAAGACAGGTGAAATTTTGAAAGTGTGTGTGCACTATTTGTAATTTGCACTTGTGTTATAACTTTGTACTCATGTTATATAAGAATAACCTTGTTTTCAGCCAATCAGAAGTGCATAATTTTTCCATGTACAGTATTACAGTTGTTAAACATAACCTCACAGGACAAAAGATACATTGGCATCATCAATAAGACATCTGCACATAATGAAGTCAGCATTTGGCAACATCATGAGGGCCTTCAGTAGAATCTGCATGGTGACTGTTGTTTGGTGATATGCAGGGTTGAACTGGTACCTGAAAAGGAAAAAAGAAATGTTGCAAACATCTTATTAAAAACATTTTTGAAATACCACTTACTAACTGAGTTTAAGGTCCTTACTGTAAGTAACCAACCAAGTCTTTTCTGCTTCGATTTACTGCCCGAGCATGAAGCACAGGCATAACTCCAAGCAGAAAAAACAAACTTCATAACTAACAATAAGCACAAAGAAAACAAGGTTAATACGATATTTATTTCATCTCCAGGTTCAAATTGAGGGGGAGGATGTCGATTCAAAGTTAACAAACTTTTGATTTTAGCAGGTTGTACAGTGAAATACAGCCCATTAAATTGACCAATCAATTATTAACTGAGATATAAGTGCTGTGATATGAAAAAAAAAACAAAAAACAAAACAAAACAAAAAAAAAGGATGAAGCCAACATGTATCCTGCTATGATGACCAAACAAACCAAGTCAGCAAAGGATTCATAGTAAGGCCAACAAAGCCCAAAGAGCTGTAAAACACATTTACAAAACTACTTGTAATTACAGGACTTCTTTAATTTGGCTTTCAGGATATCAAAACAAACATGTTCTGCACTTCAATCATTGCAAATATTACCAGGGAAATTTTTAGTTGTTGGTGATAAAAATGTCCCATAAGTACTGTTAAGGGATTAAGTTGGCTATGAATGAATTCTTTTCCCACTTTTTTTTTCGCCAGACAAAATGGGCAGTCCCAAGAAAGCAACTGGCATTCTCTATTCTTCTACTAGTAGTTTGTCAGTGGAATATGTGCAAACTAGCAAAAGAAGCTACATGGTTTGTAAAATTTCTCTAAAAATTACAGTAATCCTCTTCTGTTACACTTAATTTAACATTAAATGTACACTGAAACAGCTCCATAAATGGTACTTCACTCTTGGAAGTGATATTTAAGTCACCCTGTACAGTATATACAATATGTATATCACAATTGTTTGCATAGTTATAATAAATAGTCACATTACTCAAGCTTACAAGAAGAAACTGCACACTAACACTTACAACTTCAAAACTGCCAAATTTGCATCCAAATCATAAGCATTGTTGTAGACCTAATGAACAATCCAGAACACATATTACTTAAAGAAAATACGATCTTGAGGCAATTTCAGCCATGTTCTCAAGATGTGTAGGCTGGTTATCATGTCAATGAGTTGATAAGATGCAAAATTTTGTCCATCTTACAATGTGAAAGTAAATATATCTAAGGAGTTTCAGAAAAAAAAATTAAAAAATAAGGATTCAATCTGATTATGAAAGATGCCTAACTATGGTTTGACATGAAAAGTTTGTTGAATCTTATATTTTTTATCTTTTCATACTTTCCTTAATCTATAAAGATAAGTTTGTATATAAAAAAAATCCCATGTTATAAAGTGCCTCAAAAATATAAATATATTTACTCTGGTTAACCCTTTAACTTCCACAAGTGGCTAAGACAGTATTTCTCCTTACAATGTCGATACAATATCAAACAGACAAGTCATGAGGACAAAGAAAAATACCACATAGGGGATTATAAGTTGTTCCAATACCAAATTCTCCACACTAGCATAATAAGAACAGTATAGAGAACAGTAAGGAGAATTACTGTACTAATAAGGATGTGGGAGTGAAAGGGTTGAAAAAAAAGGTCCAATAGAAAAGGAAGGGTTTGATTGCAGGCTGTTAGTTCTATTTTGGAGCCACTGTCATGTGTTTACTTCTTGGAGTTGAATACAATGTGCTGAAACTGAAAAGGTGATGAAAGATGAAATTATCAAATTATATTTCCTGTTAATCGTCTGCAGCTTGAATATTAGGAGACAAAATCACCATAGTTTGTTTCTGGCAGAAACTGAGGTGGTTGTACACCATGTAAATTTATTTCTGTTAGACTTGAAATATCACAAATGTACAAAATACAACCTGCAAATTTTTGATGCTATAGGATCAAAATTTGATACATGTACATGTACATGTACACTTAATTACTTGTTGAAAACATGTGTAAATTTAAAACTTAAGTTTGGTGGTCAGAATTTGATAAGTTTGTGACCATAATCATCACCTGAAAATGAACATAGCCCTCCAGGTTTGTGAGATTTTCAGGGTTGTATCTGGGAAAAACAAACGAGTATATTATTTACAATTCAAATACATATTCGTCTACAAGCTATGTTCCAGTAAGAGAGTAGGTTTCTTCTTCAGAGTGACCTCTTCACTTCCTCCAGAAGTATTTTTGAACAACGCTATCATAATTTTTGATTCTCATATATTAATTCGTAAAACCTCAATCAGTAAACGTTCACTTTTGCCGGTCAAAGAGTCGCGGTTTTAGGATTATTAGGACACCAAATTTTGTCTGATCCCCATCCAGTAACCCTTAAAATTCACTTTGCAAGGCAAGTTACTGACAGAAGCCATCAAACAAACTAAGCAGTCAATCATGGTAAAGAAAAATGGTATCGTATTCTTGACTTAACTATAGTCCTAGGGTTTAGAATTCACACGTGGGTAGAGAGAAACAGATTGTCAGGCATCCAAGATCCGATTTTAAAAACTGAGATCTCTACGCGGATGTCAAGGAATTGACACCTAACTGTTTTTCAAAAAAATTAATGGACAGTTTTTGACTGTTCTTACCTATCTATTCCTTTTAAAAGTTGGGCTACTTGCTCTCTCATATCTTCCGCCATCTTGGATAGTCGATGAATTATTAGAGACGGTAATCCTGGGTTCTAGCAGCCTCTCTTTCATCCTCAAAGTTCGTGTAACGCGCGGGAATCCACGCACGTAAGCAAAAGTCAAGGAGACTCGATGCCAATTTCTCATCATAAGGTAAATAAGTAATTAACTAAATAAATACATAAACAAATGGTAATAAATCAGGAGATGAATAAATGGTCTTGTTAAAACACATCACACGTCACGTATCGGAACCGAAGCCTGAAGGTGAATAAACAAGATTTTCGCGCCAAAACTTAGAAGAACGCGGCTACCCAACGCGGTTACCACTCGGTTTGCCCGCCACTTTGTCACTTCGACAAGATGATAGTTGACTGTCCATGGTTAATGGGAGAACTTTGCCCGGATATCAAGAAACACGACATTAAGGCATGCCATGGTAAGATTCTGAAGTAGTTTAACAGATGAAAATAAAAGGGGTAAGCTTCTAGAGAAACTCTTACTGCGTTTGTGGGAAAAGTAACAACTAGTGATTTGGTTTTATCAGCCAAGTTATAACGTAAATTGGCCACCGTTAAGAGTCAATTGGTCTTAATAAAACTAAACTTTCGATTGTTAGCCTTTCGTCAGAACGAAGTAACTTCACTCTGGTGAAAATCTCACTTTCAAAGCCCAGGGGCGCGAAGACGTCTCCAAACGCAACGGCCGCAAGCGTATTTTACACTCGCTTAAACATGCACATATGCACGACCTATTTTAGCATCTCGCTGACGTTATTGTTGAGACGAAATATGATTGTTTTATAAAAACCAAAGGTTAACAATCAATTCTTTGACATTGACAGGGAGATTGTGCTTTTTCCAATAACCAAAAGTTTCGGTACAGTATTTAGTATAATTAATCTTTAGTCGTTTCTTCAGCAGGACTATTGCCCTCTTGTTGTTTAGTTAATCTCTTGTTATTTCTCAAACAAAATAATTGCCGCACAATTCCGAATATAAGCCTCAGGTTTACACAATGTCTTCAGGAGTTCTAGGTTGTCGGGGACACCGTTTTTTTCTTTACTCTCTTTCTCCGAAAGAGCAGCTGCGATTTTTTCGAGGCTTTAACTTACTCGATCCGGTATATCGTGAAAATTTTTGTAAACCTTCTTTACTGGCCGAAAAAGCGGTATTCTGCATCACATCAATCTAGATAAGGCATTGATACGTACGATAAATAATACGGTCTGTAAGTAAAATGAATAAAATTATACAGGTCAAATTAACAATTTAAACGAAAATATATAAATATATAATATGTATGTATATATATATATATATATATATATATATATAATATATATATGTGTGTGTGTGTGTGTGTGTATAGAATATTTATATTTATACATATACATGAATAATTAAATAAACTATAACCACTCACCTGTTTTAATAACTTGGTTTCGTATTGCGGTCTTAGATTAAAAATTATCCTTTATGTCAACAATGCAATCAGGAAACTTATTCGACTGCTTAACTGACAAGAGAAAAAAGCTATTTCCATGCTTGTTGCAATTTGAACGTGGTTTTAAAAATGTCTTAGAGTTACCACTCCTCAAGGTACTAGAAAAAGGGGTGAGATATCTTTGTCGATTTCATTATATCCATGTACAAAGTGATGGGACATGGCTAATCGAGAGGGAGTTCTGCCATTAAACTTCGAGAGGTCGTTCAAAAAGTTTTCTTAACGTCAGTGCTAGATTTAATTTGTACATACCGTGATACCGTTGGTCCTTTCAGTAATAATTCATCATCATCATCATCATCATCATCATCATCATCATCATCATTCAGTATTTATCTTTTTAATAATGCAAAAAATATATCTACGGCAGTATCACTAATAGAAGGCGAGGAGACCCGGGAGAGGCCACAGCGAAGAAGATTTGACGAACGAGTGACTGAAACGGGAAAAGAGTTCTAAAATCTTTCCCTATTAACCACTTAGCCCCGGATGATGCAGAGCCAAGAACAATATAACCTGTTGATCTAAATTGGGCAAAACGTTTTCTTTTGAGTCAGCATGTCTTGTGTTCAAGTTGCTCGGTTGCTCCGGTGATATAACAATAACATGCGGCTCTCTACGTTTATAAACTTCCCTCTTCCCTTCTCTTTTCTTTCCCCATACCAAAGACCTCATATCAATTTATTTGGGAAAATTAGTCCTTCCTCCAAGTGGATTAAAAAGCCTGTTCCCTTCCTTCTCACTAAAGTGAATGATAAGGGACTGCCTTTTTAATGTTAGAGTCCACTCGGTCTGATTTTAGTATGAGATTAGACTTCATGTTGTTAGTGAATTACCACGGAATTTACTGTTACTAACCTTTAGGAGGAAAAGTAGACAGAAGCAATTTGATTAAAAGAAAACTCTCTTTTGGTTGAAAAAGTAGGAAAGTATCAGCGTTTTCATAACTTGTTTTTGAATGGGCAGTTCATTTCGAAAGTATTTGATCTTTGACAGTTCTATTAAATCAATGTTCTCTCTCTCTTCTCTTTTTCCTCTTTAATTCCTGGCCGTGTTTCTCCTAGTTTTAACATCTTACTCCCTCCTTTTCTATATTTACCTTCTATAATTTCATATTTACTCATTTCTCTCTTTCTGCCGTGCAACGTTCTTCTCGCCTCCTTTCATTACCAGGTCATTCATTCTAGACAGTCATAGGCAAAATCGTGACAGCTGTCCTGGTAGTTCCCGGAACCTATTCCGTTGTACTTGATTGAATGGAAGCGATGGGCGGAAAAATATTTGACTCAAGGTTAGCATGAGACCATGCGTCACGACTGAGATCCAACTCAGTCGTTCAGTATTTTATCATAAGACTGCCTGTTTTTCTTCTTTTAGCTCGCATCTCACGGGACCACGCTATCGCATACAGCCCTCATAGGGGGACTTTTGGCGTGAGAATTATCTTCCTTGTAGCCGTTTTGGAATATGTTTCATATGCACACCTCCTGAACAGTGTATCGGTCACCTGCTGGATGTTTTTCTTCGCTATACTAAAACTGCACCTTTAATGAAATTTGAGTTTTTGTCGGTAGAAATTAAAAAAAAACGAAATAGAAGCCTTGGTTTTTTCAAAACTCGATCGATAAAACTGATTTTGATTATTTTATAATTGGGCTCGTAAAGTGGTTCAAAGCAGTTAACGGGGCTTCTGTTGTGTAAATACCATCCATTTTCCTGCGTAAATTTACAACAAATTCTAGGTTTTCAAGAAATTACCAGTCCATATTTCAGGGCATATATTTCAACTAGATGGTTGCCATAGTAACAGATCTATCTGTAAAATCACCCTTACTTTTTTTCATATGTTTCAAGAACAAAAATTGGCTTGGGAGCCATCCTTTTGATTAGTTAAAATGGTAGGCCCAACATTAAACCCATCTCGAAGTTTACACAATATTCCGACAAGAAACATTAGAGCCACCTTCACTTTTCTGCGAGTTTGGTATGATCAGCTAATTGCGGATAAAGAGATTATTAACTGTTTATAATCTTTTGTGGCTGATAAAAGGAGATGGAAACTGATGATCACAGTGATAATACTATCAACTGTTACTGAAACGACTTTAGATCGAAAACTGTAAATTAATCAACTTCGCCTTGTTTTTCTGAAAATGGACCCGGGTAACAAAGTGCTGAACTAATATTTCAGTCCCATGGAGCCCTGGATTACCAAGAAACAAAACCTAAAATCCAAGAGGAAGCACACAATGAAAAAAGAGAAGGCGGAAGGGCCTCTCTTAGAGCCACCATTTTAAACTAATGTGGGGCCTAGAACGGAAATCCAAATGCAACATTTGGAATTTAATTTTACCATGTATCATTCCTTTTTGGGGAAAGATAATTTTTTTTCCTAAGTTGTGATATACGTTTGTGAAAAAAGCTAACAGTATGAAAAAGCACTCAGGCGATTCACTTATCAATATAAATGGAATTTATTGAGCCTTCCTAAAGATGTGCAAGAGAACTAAAAGCTAAGTAAACAAAAGGTAGGACTCTTGCCGCATACTGTACCAAATGAAAACCGCGACAAAAGCAATTAGGGAAGTTGATGCCAACTGCTTCAATATGACAATCTCTTTTAAATTAATACTATATCATTTTCATACGAGATGGTTTTTTAAAATTCTCATCTCGTAGGCTTGTAATAGTTGTCAGCTGAAGCAAACGTGGCCTTTTTGTGCAATTACTTTTTAGCATGGACAAAGCTGGATAAACGGATCAAAACAAACTACTCGCATGAAATGTTTAGTTTTTGTGAAGGAAGAGCACCAGTATTTTACCACAACCCTTATTTTCATTTTAGCCGGGATTCATAAAAAGAATTATTTGCCTAGTGACCAAATGAAACAAATAGCTGTCACTTATTTCAATGTTTTTCATAAATGTATTCATGCATCTCTTGAATAAACGGCCGTCAAGGTAACGCCCAATAAACGTAAATGTGAAACGTAACCAACATATTCCTGTATCCCTTTGTTGGCCTGAACTTTTAATCCATGATTTCCCTCTACCTCTAAAGATTGCTCAGTACTGTTTTTTCAAAATCTCTCTTGAATAACATCTGATCTTAACAGTGACAATTTCCTTGTTCATTTGTCAGGTGCGCGGCAAAGCTTTCTTCAAACATTTCACAAGCCTTGTTTGTTCCATTAGAGCCGAAACTTAGCAAGAACTTGCATTGTTCAAAGTGTCTATTTCACAAAAAACCGGTTATGAGGTGTCACTCAAACCATGTTCAAACTACACAATTCTATTCAAAGCATTCGCGACTGAAAAAAAAAATTACCTTTAAATAAAGGTATATTTTATCATCTTGTGAAGCTGAATAAACCGTAGTTGGAAGGACTGGAATTGTAAAATTATCCAAAGAAAACACTGATTGTAGCGAGGAGCAAATTTGCAGAGAAGTGCTAACGGGAAAATTTGAAACATATACATCATTGTTTCGCGATGGAAATAAATTTTGCGCAGATGGGTAA